TAATGTTGCTATCAAAAAGAAAGCAACAAAGAAAGATACAACTTACTTAATGGTCTAAAAGCAACAAGAACCAGAAGTTGTCACTATTTGAACATATCACCTGCCTGAAAAGAAGCATACAAAAACATCAACAAAAGTTATAACAGGTAGAATTCTTTAGGGAATCTTCTCCTATAGATTCCAAATTGTATACATAAATTTTAGATCATTTAAAGATTATTCATGTGACCTAATAAAAATGACTAATCTTTTAAATGTTACACTTGTTAAAAAAGCCAATTAACGGTGATATTTCCGAGCCAAATGAAGAGTGGGAACTGGGCTAAAGCAATGAAGAGCAAAAGGTAATGATGCCTGCTAGAATCGAAACTTCTAACCTCTGAGAAAAGGACTCGTTTCATCGTTTTCACCAAGAAGATTCCCATACATAAACATGTCCACGGAATCAAGAAGTAGTAAGAGTAGGACATTATGATTTTTCCAAGGACAGCAAGGCATAATCCGGTGAAACCGTACCCAGCGTATGCAACGATATCTAGTAAAGGTGCCTCTGCACCGCCTAATGAAAATAACGACATTTTGAGTAGTGAAACCTGTAGAAACCAACCAACCAACCCTTTCATGAAAAGCCAGTTCACAGCTTCTGGGCTAAACCTGCAAAACACAACTAATTTGAGATGAATACATTATCATTATTATTATTATTATTATTTTAATATTGTTTTAATTGTTAGCTGACACATGACTAGCAAATCCCTTTAAGGTTTCAATTTTCAGAATGTTGAAAGGATTATTATACATCAGCAATCACCCTTTCGACGGGTATTGTAACAATTCTCTTTWGGTGTGTTTGGTAAGCAGAAGGGACCAGACCAGGATGAGGGCAAGGTAGGCAGGTGAAAGAATTTTGCAAGGTTTTAGGGTTTTAATTTGACATGGGTAGTTTAGTAATTTATCAATCTTTGTCCCGTCTCCAAAATTTTTGTTCCACCTATTTCGAATTTTGTCCCGCTCAACAAGTTTTTGTCTCGTCCTGTCCACATACCAAACACTCTAAGGGGGCATTTGGTTTGATGGAATGGTTTTGAGGGATTTGGATTTGGAAGGATATTTGGTTTTTAGGATTTGGAATGGAACTGAATTCCATTTTCTATAAATAATTTATAAAAACAAATTATAAATAATTATAAAAAGTATTAAAKTATCTTTTTATTAATTGATTATCATAAAACAAATGTTTTCAACATATTTTAAAACATTGTTACACAAACCCTATGAAATACCGCRAAATACCAACAACGCCCATGGGATTTCTAAATCCCATGTTTGTGGGATTTCAAATCCAAGCAATCCTTCAAAACAAACATGAGATTATAATGGAATTGAATTCCAAATCCCCCAAATCCTTTCCATTCCAACAACCAAACGGACCCTACCGGGGCCAGCCGGCCAGGGCCCAGGGGTGGGGGGAATTAGAGGAGGAAACATGCATGCCATATTTCACAGGTTTGGAAGTATCAGGATGAACAATTTTGAAGAGAGAATAAAAAATTAAAGACAGAAAAAACCATGTATTCTCTCGACTCCTAAAAACGAAAGCCTGTTCACATTAATCTTGTTTAGGTTTATGACTTATAGATTATACCCAAAAAAAAAACTATTTTTTTGGATAACATACAAACTCTAGTGTTTATAAGCAACAATCAGCTTACTTTTTACATTCCCATGCAGCACATTTTCATTTATTAACAAATGGAAAATAAATCGATGGCCRTTCAGTTTGTCCTCAAGGAAATTCTTCCTAGATTACATACAACTGAATTAATAACGCAACTCAAAATGTTAAGATGATGTATGCTTTGAWTATTATTACCGTCAAAGATATACTGAACCTTAATCATAAAGATAATATGATGTAACATGGTATGTTTAATATGTGGCAATAAACTAAGATAACTATGAAAGAACTATATTATAAGCTTCAACTTCTACTCATAAAAAGGGTAAGAAGTCGTTTACCAAATAATGAATTTAAAGCTAATGCTACAATCAAAATACCGGGGGACACTAACTCGGATGAATAGAGTAGTTGACTGACCACACCAAAAATATTTAGGGCAGGTTTGTTGGTAGCTTAACGAACTTAATAATACTTGCAGCTTATTCGGTCAGCTATACATAATTGTTTGGTAGTGGCTTAATGATATCGAAAATARCTTATTCAGTAAGCTTCTGGGGAGGCTTTATGCAGAAAGCCAAGTTTTTCTAWACATGTCCCTCCTAATTTAAAAACAGACTCTTTCCTTTTATGAGAAAAACTTTTCTCAGTCTATACAGACAGATTGATCCACGAAGGCATCTTTATCCATCCATGAAAAAACAACCAAACAGCCCCTTATACAATTAGAAGAATAGCCTTCTGAAGTACTTTTCTAAAAATGCATGACCTTCTGATAGATTTTGAGGCATTCTTCTGTTAGGTAGAGGCATTCTTCTGTTAGGCAGAGGCGTTCTTAAATCTATCAAAAGGTTTATATATATATAAAGACATGCATTCACATATAAACAAGGCAGGCTGATACTTACTTCCCTTGCAAACCCAATGAGAATCCAGCAAGAACAACATAGGTACCGAAAGCCATTAGTGGAATATAAAGATCGGGAGCATTAATATCGTAAACCGGGGGCTTATATGATAGCCKACCGCCAACTGGTTCTGTGATTCTTGTCCAATGCCCCTGGTGGATAAACAAAGGTAAGCACTTAAATGATCATTTTTTGCCCAAAAAATGATCATTTTGAATGAATGAACAAGAGAGAAAATACTATCATGACAAACGAGCACGTACCCTGTGTAGAAATGGGAAAAGAACAACCTTCAATTTATTCCTCACATAATGGTCGTTGACTTGGAAGTAGTATTGTGGATCGGAGAAGTACCTACTAATCTGTGATCAATGAAAAATGTAACATCAATCCTGAAAGTTGAATATCATAAAGAGCATAGTTCTGCAGCCATGCCAAATCTTTTATCAAATTGTGGGAACTTTTTCTYTTGATTTTTTACACAAGACGAGAGCTCATTGACTACCCTGAAGCTTCAGTTAAAAATACTCGTTTGTAAATAAACATAAAACTTATTTCAATGACTTTTCCAAGCCTCCTTTGGTTTTCACATGTAAAATGACAAATGGGCTTATACAAGGTTCTGGCTTAGGGKTAACGAGATACCATTGCATGCCACCATTGCGTAAAGGGGCGACAAAATGCCAGGGTTGCTATTTAGTAATAGAACTCCGGTACTAGAGTGACATGGCAGATGATACGATTTGTAGATGGTGTTCAATGAAGTTGTCAAGTATCTTYTTTTAGGGAAAATGGCACAAATAGCCATTTCAGCAGACCAAATTTACCTCTTAGTCATTTCTCTCCCAAGTTTTCTGAAAAGTCCACCTCTGTAAGTGACAACTCCTCAATTGAGGGGTATTTAAAAAAAACTTGATTTGAGTAAACATGCATCTCCATGGGGCACCTCCAAGGGTGCCACGTGCCTTGTAACCAAGCACCTCCACAAGTGTAAACATGCATCTCCATGGAGCAAAGCAACGATACTAATTTTTTAATGTAGCACCTCCACAAGTTGCGGAGGTGTTACTTGCGGACATGTTTCAGAAATTAATTTTTTAATTAAAATTTACTACCTCTGCAAGTTGAGGAGTTGTTACTTGTGGAGGTAGTGATTTTTTGGAAAGTTCGGRAGARAAATGGCTAAGAGGTAAATCCACCCGGCTGAAATGGCTATTTGTGCCATTTTCCCCTTTTTTTATCAGCAAATTGTGTTTCTCCTATTAATTACTTTCTTGTGGACATCAGGGTACAACTATGAGGTTGAATTTAGTAGAATTGAGCCCAACTCCTATTCTTCACTACCATGGTAACTCAGTTTTAGGGCAACACCTAGAACATATAGATATTTCAACAAAATTCTTTCCTTTCTTCACAAATAAATGTATTAATCCCCTTTATAGGTTTCCTAAAATAAATGCAGCATTTCCCATCCAGTAAATGCTTGAATCCAGATTTGCATATTTACACACTAGTAATGATTTAAGGGGGCGTTTGGTATCCAGACACGATAGGACAGAACAGGAATGACAGAACAGTTGTTTGGCATTTAGCATTTGGTAAGACAGAATTGGACATAACAGAACAAATAAAATRACTAATTTACCCCTAACGAGTTGTTTATATATTTTGATTAATTATGTAATTTATTTAACTATAATAAAATAAATACTTTTTATAATTAATATAACATTAGAAAGTTTCCATTAAGACGATTGAAATGACACCAAAATAAAAAGTTTATATAGTTTCCAATTTTTATTTTATACCTTTTCTATATTATTTTTTTATTGTTAATATTTAATAAATTACATAAATTAATCAAAACATAGAAACAATATAAGAAAAATATTTTGAGGATAGTAAARTGAAAGTTTAATGAGCATAAAATTTAAAGAATGAATAAATTGTAAAGAGGGAGGCGTATTTRATGTTTTAGAAGAGGATTAAGTTTTATTATGAGGTTAAGTTGGTAAAATATAGTCTATTCCACCTTGTTCCATGGGGTGGGGKTGGAACACGCTTGCTACTCTGTTCTTCTCTGTTCCACATAAAAGYCTTGCCAAATGTGGAACAGGGATCCTTGTTCTTTTCTGTCCTGTCCAGTGTATCAAACGCACTCTAAAAGACATTAGTATCACATATTTTGGTCTGGAATATCTTTTTATTTGTCATTATTGAAGAGCATTTTACATATTAGTAATAGTTAAAGACTATCAGTCAAACAYTCAGGGCAGTTTAAGTACATGCTTCCATCAGGAGCTTTAATCAACATAGCCTAAACAATTATTTTAGAAAAACAATCATTCGGAACAAGCACTCATTATGCAGCATATACAGGTGTGCTATTAGAAGGGTCTTGATCCCAAAAGAGTACAGTRAAAGATCAAATAACATCAACAAGTCTATCCCAATAGCATAAGATTAGTACTAAACGCTGTTGCAGTTCCAGAAATCAGAGTAAATTGTCATAAATTAACTTCACATTATTTACTCCACCTCTATAAACTCTTTTCACAGTAAGATTTTGGATTTTCCCTTGCAAGTTGGCTATTAATGAGTTRTGAACACTTTTAGTATATTAGATTCCAATATGACCCTAACCACAAAACTGAATAACACTTGGTATTGTTGTTTGCATAGTTGTTAAAAAYGCACGTAGGCTCTGTGGCTYGTAASACTCAAGGTCTTGGGCTTTTTTAAAGCCGAGGCTAGGCGTATTCACGAGGCTCACTAAGGCCCGSCGCCTTGGCTGAGGCGCCTTGTGGACCTAGGCATGCCTCATAAAGAGTTATTGAATACCAAGTCAAATCCTAATATTGAATAAGCTTCCTCATCTTCTTATCTCCTAGACTGCTTAAAATAGAGTTATTAAATAGATGACACAAGTCAAACTTATTAAATACCCAGTTCTTATAACTTCAAGCCTCTTTCTCTATAGATACTCGGACCTTAAAACTTCTCCCTTAYGGCTCACGCTTTAAACCCTTCTCCCTTCTGCCTATATCGAAGTGGTTGCTGCACTGGAGTACTTGAAACATATTTGAGYTGTGTATAATTGTGTGTGTATGTGTATATAAGTACTGTTTTTTATAAGATGCGCCTCACATTCCTGAGGCCTGCGGCACGAGCTTAGGCCCCTGAACCCCTTTGCGCCTAAGYGCGCCTTGAGCCTTTACAACTTTGGTTGTTTCACACGATTCTACTCCTTGGTGGTTAATGTTGTGTCTCCTTCCTTAAACCATGGGTAAATTAAATTAAAGAACACTGAAAAACAAGAATGCACAATCTAAAATAATTAAATCATGGAAATTCAATGATCTGTTTGTCTCATGATTTTCAATGATACTTACATTACTTTGCACATACTCAGAGCTTGAACCTAGGATTTTTTCTCCATAAGCACCGAGTCCACCTCTAATAAGCCCTGAGCTGGCACCATAAAATGCATTGCCAAAAGGAACTGGTTGAGCACTCGATGGTGTTCTTGCCGACCCGGGCTGGTTTCCAAGATTATCATACATATTAAAGGACCTGAAAATGAGAACATCTTTTTGACTTTAATGATTCCCTCATGAAGAAGGATATGGAAGAAACTGTGTAACATATGAATTTCTGATAAAGATTAAATACATATTGGGGTTAAGGTAAATCAGGAACTATTCAAAAACTTGATTTTCTAAAATTTAAAGATGAGTCATATGCATTCATGTGTGTTCTTTTGGTTCGTTCACTTTCTGGGTCACTCACACAAATTGCACTTTAACAACACCATAATTCTCACTTTCTTCGATTGGTCTTCCATTTTCACTCTAGTGTTACTGTTCTTCTCTGTTCCACCGTCGAATAATTTACTGTGGTGATGATCTCCGTGTTGCTGTTATTGTGTTCTTTTTGAGTTTTTGAAACGATTTTTCAGTTGGTGCATTGCTCTAAGTAAATGATTAKGTAGATCGAATATCGTTCTTTAAAGTCGCAATAAGTTATTGAGGAGTGAAACCACCAGTTCCTAGATATCATGAAAATGGAAGACCAATCGAAGAAAGTGAGAATTAGTGTTGTTAAAGTGCAATTTGAGTTCGTGTGTGTGTGAATGAGAAACTGAACGAACCAAAACACACATCAATATCTGAGAACCAAACGGAGAGAAATCGCATACCGGAATGGCGGAATCTTGCGGTTCCCCCTGCAATGCGACGAAGGAGACGAGGAGCAGATCTGATCAAATTTGGGGMTTCAAATGGCTTTTTGGTGCAAGATTTGTAATTAGCCTATAACTCGGGGGCGAAATTGAAAATAATGATATGTTTATATTTATTGCACATGAAATTATCATATGTTGACATTAACCCCTTTACTTTCTAAACATACAAGTTAAACCCTCTAACTTCTCTGTACTAATTAAATGTCCCTATATTTCATTCATTTTATATAACAAAAACGGAGCCATTGAACTAGATGAATTCATAAATTTTTGATTTATTTTTTAAGTGTATTTTTAAATATTATTTATTTTTTTCTATTTTAGAGAAGACTAGAAGGGTATTCGTGCAATGCATCGAGACATATCTTGATTTCAGTGTTTTGTTCGATATAAGGTTTTATTTGTTTTTAAGAAAGCGATAATGTTTTTATTTTTGAATAAAATATAAATTTGAAAATATCATAACATTTTGAAAAAAATATATATATTGATATCAGTATCAAATTTATTTTTCCAAAAGCTCTTGTGTTTTGGTGTAATTTTTTTAATTCATTTTTTAAATTATAATTTAATTTAAGTTTAGTAACAAAAAAAATTAATTTAGATTTAATAATATATTTTTTTAATAAAGATAATAATTAAATATTCTGTTAGAACTCAATGATTATCTTAATTATATTTTAGATTTTTTTATGTTTAAAATGATGTTTATCATGTATTTGATTATGTTTATCCACAGATAATTATACAAATTCGAATGTGAAGCTTTAATAAGTTGTACCTACGCACAATCAATTTGTAATCTTGAATTTTAAGTAATATGCATCAACAAACAGTATTTTATGTATAAAAAATTGTTTTTAAGAGTTTTTGCCAAATTCTTTATAATATAGCATAGATATTAGCATAATTGTTACAGCAAACTTTTTCAAATCTTCAAAATTTCTAAAATAACATAGTTGTTGAAGATTCTCTAAGAATTCGATAAAAACTCTTAAAAACTCTTTTTTATACATAAAGTACTGTTTATTGATGCATATTACTTAAAATTCAAAACTACAAGTACATTGTGTGTAATTACAACTTATTAAAGTTTTATGTTTGAATTTTATAATTAACTGCAGATAAACATAATTAAATACATGATAAAGATCTCATTTTAATTAAAAAAAATCTAAAATTTAATTAAGATAATCATTGAGTTCTAACAGAATACTTAATTATTATTTTTATAAAAAAAAAATTGCTTCATTATTAAACTTAAAAAATTATATTATGTTGTTTTTTCAAAATTTTATAATATCTTCAAATTATTTTATTCAAAAATAAAAACATTATCGTTTTTTTAAAACCACATAAAATCATATTATGACATCGATAGAGATAAGAGTAAAACGAAACATTAACATAGATATGTATCTCACTGTATTATACGAGTACCTTTCTAGTAATCAAAAATCAAAACAAGAAAACTAATAATAAAAATTTTAAACCACAAATTATAAATTATAATGTTGATTTGAAGTTTTAC